AACGGCCTTCCAGAAGAAAAGAAGAGGGATCCACTAAGCTTCTGCTTTTGAAATGGTGGGTATCTAACCCCCTTGAACCCCTGGAAGCACCACTAGAGGAACCAAAACAAAACACTCGTCTTCTGTCGCTTTACAAAAGAGAACAAATTGAAATTCTTCCTCTCTCTCGTCTTGCCCTAGACAATTATGGAGGTTATTAGGAAAGTTGACGAGGTTTAAGGAAAGTTGTGGGTTTAAATTCAATTCAAAACATTCCCCCCAACCCACTTTAGTGTCTTACAGGTCAGATCACCTTACATTGGGCAACTCACGACCGAGTTTTTCCAACGCCAGTATAATCTGAGTGTATGATGAGGTTATTCAAGATCGAGGTAATATGGTTTGCAGCTCCATTGCTACATACCACACAACATTGTTAACAATCTATGTAGAGTAAACAAATGAGAAGTAGGAAATAGATGAATTGCTTGTGTTGTTAGAATTGTTGGAACTTCAAATCACCGTATCACGATATGAACAACTTTACCAAAGAGTTGACAAGAAAGTTTGAAAATGTTATTTTAACTGCTCAAGATTAAAGAGAAAACTATTAGCAAAATTACTTAGTTCAGTTTCCTCTCACACACCTAAATCAATTGGGACCCATATAAAATTACCAAAGATTCAACGATTTCAATATGCGTGTATGTATAATTCTCGTTTCTTTGTGCATTTGTATTTTCAATTACATGAACGACAACGATGGCAACAATTAGGATACTAACTCCGATCCCAATTATAAAAAACTAAATTAACTTAAGGAATATGGAATAAATTTTCTTAGTTGGATATCACTATTAATTACTTGAATTCCCATATTTGATTTCAAGGGAAAAAAAAATGAACACGAGTTTTGAAATTTCATATTGTTTTCTATCGTGGCTACGACAATGTTATATTGATGAACGGAGGAGGGGTTGTGATTTTTTCGGTATGGTCTTCAATTTAAAAAAATAAAAATAAAAAATACATTTGCAGCAATAAAGATTTAGAGTATAAGTTACAATTTTAAAAAACTCAATACAATGTAATAGGATTTAACAAAGGGTATATATATGAGTGATTTAATGGTAATATTGTAGAAAAACTAAATAGAATGTAATAATTTTAGAACAAGTTTCAATTCCTTTAAGATGCTTTTTTTAAATTTTCGATTTTCTCTAGTTTTTAAACTTTGATTAATCATTTCTTCAAGTGATTCTCAGTGAGTCTTATTCTTTTACCTATATAAGATTAATGAGTTTTAGCTACCTTATGATGTTTCATTTTCCTTACATTTTTTGAATAACCAGAATATTATTGCTTATTTTATTAGCAAATTAATGAATTGTTGTTACATTGTCGGCTTAATAAATTATTTTTGGATTGTAATTGTCTTATTGGCTTAAAGAATTTTCGTTGCCATATCGGTTTAGTGATTTTTTTGGATTGTTGTTGTCTTATCGGTTTAATAAATATTAAATACATCCTAAATTGTTGGATTCACGGCTGATTAACACATAGCAATGTTATAACCTATTGAGCCCTTGTTTGAGCCACATTATTCCAAAAATGAGAATGAAATAGTCGATCGTTATATAGTAAAAGGACCCCACTTTGGCAGCAATCTTTGATTTTGTTGACAAAATTGCGAAAAGACATTAAGGCCCCTAACTTGTTTTACATATCATTTCATAACAAGGACAATTTTGACATTTCATTTTCCAAAAGACGGCTGCCTTTTTTTTTTTTTTCAAATCTTGCGGCTACAGCACTGTTTATTCTACTGTTGCAACAGTCTCATTTTTTATTAAAATGAGAAATTAATGTGCACCAAACATAGGCTAAATACAAAGTTCCTCAAATTTCACCCTAAAAAAGTTGCGCACACGTCAAATTTAACTAGATAGTTGTTAGTTGTCTATTATTTGAATTTTAAATGGAAACTTGATATAGAGGTGTAATTCACTGCATTTAAGGGGAGGGGGGAGGGGTG